CCTTTTGCACTGATGTGCTGCACTCTTTTATCATTGAGGATGGACATAATTGCGGACCCTGCTCCTGTAATGAATTGTTCAATTATCCACCACCATTCACGACTGGATGTGCTAGACTGACCGGTTGGCTGTGCAATCACCAAGCTCTGTCCATCACTTGCTGCTAATGCTGTTTGGCATGCAAGTAGTCCTGTTTGGTAGCTTCACCAGGCTAACACTTCATTTTCAGATACGTCTGATGCTGCTCCTGGCATGGCCTCTTCCGTTCTCCAATGAACCAGGATTGATCCTCTGGTTTGATGGCAATGGTTGAGTTGGGGGGGGATATGCTGGGCCATGAGGTTACAGATTGCGCTAGAGTACTATTCTACTGCTGTTGATGGCCCACAGAGCCCCATGGATGCTCAGTCTTGAGTTGCTAGATATGTTCGAAGTCTGTCCCATTTAGCACGGTGATAGTACTAAATGAAGGAGGGAATTCTCAATGTGAAGGCTGGACTTTGTCTCCACAAGGACTGTTCAGTGGTCACTCTTATTGATACTTTCATGGACAGATGCACCTGCAGTCAGCACATTGCTAAGGATAAGGTCAAATATGTTTTTCCCTCTTGTTGGTTCCCTCCCCACCTGCTACAGACCGAGTCTAGCAGCTATATCCTTTAGGACCTGACCAGCTCATTCACTAGTAGTGCTACAGAACCACTCTTGTTGATGGAAATTGAAAGAGATTCAGAATACATTCTGTGCCCTTGCCATTCTCAGCACTTTCTCCAAATGCTATTTATCATGGAGGTGGACTGATTCATCAGCTAAAGGAGGATGGTGTGTGTGGTAATCAGCAGGAGGCTTCCTTGCCAATGTTTAACTTGAAGCCATGAGGCTTCAGGGAGTCCAGAGTCAATGTTGAAAACTCAGAGGGCAACTCCCTCCTGACTGTATACTACGGTTGCCGCCTCTGCTGGGTCTGTCCTGTTGACGGGTCAGGAAGTATCCAGGGATGGTGATGGTGGGGTCTGGGACACAGTCTGTAGGGTATGATTCCTTGAATGACTATATTAGGATGTTGCTTGAAAAGTCTGTGAGACAAGTCTCCCAATTTTTGCACTAGCCCCCAGATGTTAATGAGGATGACTTTGTGGGGTTAATAGGGCTGTTTCTGCCATTGTCTTTTCCGGTGCCTAGGTCAACGCTGGACAGTCCATCCGGTTTCAGTTCTCTCATGAGACATCGTAACGATTGATACAACTGAATGGCTTACTCAGCCATTTCAGAGGGCGGTTGGGAGTCAACCACTTTGGTGTGGGTCTGAAGTCACACATAGGCCAGACCAGGTAAGGATGGCAGATTTTCTTCCCCAAAGCGGATTATTGAGCTAGATGACTTTTTACTAAACAATGGTTTCATGGTCATCAGTAGATTCTTAATTCCAGATATTTTTTATTGAATTAAAATTCCACCACCTACCATGATGGGATTTAAACCAGAACTTGAGCTGAGTTTCTGGATTAATCGTCTCATCATAATAATGCCACTTGGCCATTATCTCCCCTTTGGGGATTGGCCCACCCTTATGAAAAACAACTGTCAAAGTCAGATTGCAACATCTTGATCATAAGCACATCCTTGTGCTGGGCAATCTTTGCTAACATCTTCATATTGACAATAAACCTTCAGTCACCAATCATGAATTATATTTGACCCTTTCAAATTCACCTTACTTCACCACGTTCACAATTTCTCTTCCAGTGACATTGCACCACATCAATAATCTGCCTGCCATTTCTTTCACAACCTGTTCAATTTCTTCAGAGTCCTGTTAATGCCTTCAAGATGTTCCACAGTCATCACCTTCCTCACCCACTGTTGTTGACATTCTGTGTGTTAATTTAAAACCAGGAAACACACTCGTTTCACAGCACAGCTGTACGAGTCTCCAATGCATTATAAAGCCACTATGGTTTCAAAACTGAAGTGAAAAGTGACCAAGAGTGTTCACAGTCTGCAGGATAATGTCCTGACATGCAGATTCCTGCACACGTTAAAACTGCTGGCAGGAGGGGTTTCAGTCATAGAATCAGAACTGTTCTGTACAGAAACAGAACCTTTGGTCTAACTCGCCATGCCAACCAGATATCTTAAGCAAATCGAGTCCCATTTGCCAGAATTTGGCCCTATTCCTCTAAACCCTTCCTATTCATGTACCCAACTAGATGCCTTTTAAATGTTGTTAATGTACCAGCCTCTACCACTTCCTCCATACACACACCACACTCTTTGTGAAAAACCTGCCCTTTAGGTCCCTTTTAAATGTTTCCCCTCTCACTCTAAACCTTTTGGACTTCCCCACCACGGGGAAAATACCTTGTCTATTTACTCTATCCATGCTCCTCATGATTTTATAAACCTCTGTAAGGTCACCTCTCAGTCTCCGATGCTCCAGGAAAAATAGGCCCAGTCTATTCAGCCTCTCTCTATAGCTCAAACCCTCCAACCCTGGTAACATCCTTGTAAATCCTTTCTGAACCCTTTCAAGCTTCAAACATCCTTCCTACATCAAAGAGACCAGAATTGCACACAGTATTCCAAAAGTGGCCTGATCAATGTCCTGTACAACCACAACATGATCTCCCAACTCGTAAACTCAATGCACTGACCAATAAAGGCAAGTTTACCAAACACCTTCTTCACTAGCCTGTCTACCTGCGACTCCACTTCCAAGGAACTGTGAACCTGCACTCCAAGGTCTCTTTGTACAGCAACGCTCCCCAGGACCTTACCATTAAGGTGTATAAGTCCTGCCCTGATTTGCCTTTCCAAAATGCAGCACCTCACATTCATCTAAACTACATTCCATCGGCCACTCCTTGGCCCATTGGCCCATTTGAGGTAACCTTCTTTGCTGTCCACTATACCTCCAATTTTGGTGCCATCTGCAAACTTACTAACCATACCTCCTACGTCCACATCCAAATCAATTATATAAACGACGAAAAGCAATGGACCCAGCACTGATCCTTGTCACACACCGCTGGTCACAGGCCTCCAGTCCGAAAAGCCCTCAGTCTTCTACCTTCAAGCGAGTTCTGTATCCAAATAGCTAGTTCTCCCTGTATTACGTGATCTAACCTTGCTAACCAGTCTACCATGAGGAAACACCTTACTGAAGTCCACATAGATCACGTCCACTGCTCTGTCCTCATCAATACTCTTCGTTATTTCTTCAAAAAATTCAATCAAGTTAACGAGACATGTTTTCCCTCGCACAAAGCCATGTTGACTATCCCTCATCAGTCCTTGCCTTTCCAAATACATGTAAATCCTGTTCCGCAGGATTCCCTCCAACAACTTACCCACCACTGATGTCAGACTCACCAGTCTATAATTCCCTGGCTTTTCCTTACCACGTTTCTTAAAATAATAGCACCACGTTACCCAACCTCCAGTCTCCCGGAACCTTGCCTGTGGCTGTTGGTGACGCAAATATCTCAGCAAGGAGACCAGCAATCACTTCCCCAGCTTCCCACAGTGTTCTAGGGTACGCCTGATCAGGTCCCGGGGATTTATCCACCTTCATGTGTTTTAAGACATCCAGCAACTCCTCTTCCTCTGTAATACGGGCATTCTTCAAGATGTTGCTTTTATTTCCCCACGTTCTCTGTCCTCCATATCTTTCACCACAGTAAACACTGATGGAAAATAGTAATTTTCTCACTAAATTTAGAAAGGCTGTTTCCCAAGAAGCATAAGAGAAATTTCCACAAACAGGCAGCAGAAATTTGTTACATCAGAGGTTGACTGCAAGCCAAACTTAAGTTCCTGGATCAGGACTGATTGTAAAACAACTACTGCATTGGTTCAGTTTCTGTCGATTCGAAATGGAAGCAAGTCCAGGTTTCCCACTCTCACTGCGTTTGAACATCAGTGTCACCTTAAAGCAGTGAGTGGTCTGAGTACCAGTGTAAAACCGTATACCTGGGTTACAGTTTCAGCTTGCACACAGCACGGAGCAAACACTGACTACTCAGTCAGATATTCTGCAGAGTGTTTCCCAGCCGTCAGATCAGCTGCAAAACAGCTCGCACAAGCGACCGACCATCTTTATTCTCCAGCAAAATGAAACTTTGGCATGAATAAGTGATTTACTCAGATATCTTCTGCGGTTCTCTATAATCGAAGCCGTTTTTGTCAGTTCAACCTCTGTCTCGTTCCACACAGACAGACACACCTTACATCTGGTTTACATAACAGGGTTAACGCCAATAATATCGGGAGCTATCACTGGCGCCTGAGTATCTGGGTCCAAATCTTGAGCTTCGTTATTCTGAAAATGAAATCTCTCCGTTGAAATGCGGGGTTAAAGTAGCAGGGCGAGGACTTTAGCCCCAGAGCCAAAGGGCACCAGACCTCAGCTCGAAGCTGGCTCGGGACCCCGAAGGGAGGAGCCGGAGGGACGCTGAATAAGGGATATCATCTGTCACTAAAGCCAGCTCCAGCCCCAGAGAGGGAGAGACCAGGAGAGAACCCGAGGGAAGGCGACTTCACTCCCAGGGTGAACAGAGGGCCAGTACCCCCTGCTCCCCCTCCATTCCCTGGGCTCCGTGAGCCTGCCCTCCCTCATCCCTCTATCCCTCCATCTCCACCTCCATCCCAGCCGTCCCTCCGTCCACAGCCCCCCTCCCTCCATCCCCAGTCCCTCACCCCCTTCCCGCCCATGCCCCAACCATCCATCCCATGTCTCCCCATCTATCCCTCTGCCCCCTCCCCCTTCTCCCCATGCCCCACCATCCATCCAATGCCCCCAATCCATCACCAGACTCCCTCCCTCCTTCTGCCCCATGGCCTCCATCCATCCCCAGTCCCCCTCCCGCCCGCCCTCCATCTATCTATTCCCCCATCCATCCCTCCATCCCTCCCCCCGTCTTACATACAGACAATGAGAACCGCTAAGGACATGCAGCAAACCAAACAAAACACCAACATGCAGAGGGTTTCTCACTAACCCGAGGGGAGGGGGGGGGGGGATGAAGCGTCCAGGCTCCTCTCCCGCACACGGTGCCCGGTTTGCGATGCTCGGGGCCGCTTTGCGCTCCGCTCTTCACCCGCCCCCCCCCTCCCCGGGGCGGGAGATCCTCCTGTCAATCACCAGCCCGCTCCAAGGAGATGCTCCAATGAGAACCCAACATCCCGGTGACCTCAGAGGGGAGGGGTGCGTCTTCGACAGCCATTGGTCCAAACACCTCAAACCATGTCATAGGGCCATTTGTTGGGGAGGAGAGAGATGGGGCAGTCTCCATGACAACCTGCCCAATTTGTCAAGGATGAGGAGATAATGAGGAATCCATGTGGTGAATCTGAATGGGACTATTCAGCCAAGGTTCAGGGTTCATGCAATCCCTTAACTGCAATCTTCACTAGAAAGAACAAAGTAAAATAATAAAAGAACCAGAGAAAAGGTAGTAAGAACTGCAGACTGGAGTCAGAGATAACACAGTGTGGAGCTGGAGGAACGCAGCAGGCCAGGACCCTTCT